AATTATTACCTGATTTCAAAGGCCCCATCCTATCTGTCGCCTCCTCTAAATGAATCTCACTGTCTCTCAAGGATGTTGACTCATTGTCACCTTCATCAAACACGTCATTGTTAAAATGGAATGTCACTTCCTTATTTGAGTGTAATGATTGACAGAAAAAACAGAAGAATCTCCTTAGGAGATTCTTGGCTTCTTGCCAACCATACATCTTCCAAATTGCAAGAATTGTGATAATTATTATAACAATAACAGCCAATAATGCGCCAACTACGATGGCTACAAGTTCAAAAATGTTAGTCTTTTCCTCATGATCTCTGTGGTTAATCAAGTCTTGCTTTTTAATGTGAATCACAGTAACTGTTGTTGGGTGTGGGCATCTGATGCTTGTTTGTCGACACTGGTGAGTAATTGGGAGCCCTACATTTTGACATTGCTTTTCACGCTGAAAAGTGTCTCCACAGCAATCACCACATGGCACACATGATGCAGTCAGTTCCTCCCAGTAGAAGCGTTTGTCGCATGTTTCTAAGCACTTTGTTGTATCTTCATCCTTTGAACACCACCCAGATGTTTGTTCATTCTCTGCACACTTCTGGCAGTTCTTACAAGGTGCATATCCATGTGAATCAGAATAGGTAAACCCCTCCACACAGTCAGTACACTGAATCTGTACACCAATGTTAATACTGGTTCCACAAAGTACATTCAGCCCCTGGCCAAATGGACATTCAGGGCATTTCCACATTATGGAATGTGTTTCATTGATAACTCGCTCAATCTCATAAGGCCTGGGTTTTTGTCGTTTACAGCATCCAAAAGTCAAGCCATACACTATGAAAAATACCTAACACAAAAAAGTTTCAAAGTGAAATTAATAGATCTAAAATTATAAAATTTATACTTTTTTAATGTTTTACTTTTATCATGAGCTCATGACAACGTTCTTTTCACCAGGGTTAGACTGTCAGCTGACTTACACCATGGAGTTACAAAAGTAACAACCCCCCGTTAAGTACAGATAAAATGTCATGGCCACTTATTAATAACGTTATAAGCAAAATTATCCTGAAAGTAACCCTCCTAACTATATATTGGCAGTGAAAATTCAAAGTCTTTGGCAAATACGTTTAAGCAGTGCCCTAATAACAACCATCCAAAGTCAGGGATTTCATTTAATGAACTTTCCCTTTTCAGCAAGAAATGAAAAGCTATAGCACAGGTCACCCAGGCTTTGTGATAGTACCACAGTACGGTTCCAGTAAAATTACAGTGTTTGTATGGGGTAAAAATACCATCCTAAAATTTCTTGGAAATACTAAATAAAGATCAATGAAACTTACTCTGCAGTAAGTTGTTGTTGTCCTTAATGCTCCAATGAAGTTTCGTGATAATTTGTTCAAATTCACTCTATATACAATAATAATATACAAGGTAGGAGACACGAGATGCCATCTTCGCCGCCATGCTCCCTTTAATCACAACTTTTTCCACAAAATTCGAACTCCAACAGAAAATAAACATGCCAGGATCGTAGAAATAGAATAGCAGCAGATATAGAAACCAATGAAGCTTTCCCACATAGAGAAACGAATCACATAGACTTTGACAAACTTGAAGGATATAATCCAAAAAGACCGAGAACATGCTTGCCAAAGTAGCCAGGCCAGATCAATGGGCAGCCAAGAAAATGAAGTCTGGGCACTGTACAAAAAAAATCCATCCCGGGAGTCCTGGGGTGACCTTTCTGGAGACGGATACATCATTTGCCCAAAGCCACCTTCCCCTGCTGGAAAAATACTTGATAGAAGGCAATTGTTCTTCCTAGCCAATCACAATTCGACAGAACAAACCCTGCACACGTGCCTAAATTTAAATGGCTAAGAAAAAAAAATCAGGATAGTCTGCCGAGTTACAAGGTGCCCCATTTCTTTTACTAAGGAATGCAAAAAACAGTAGTAATGAACTATGAAATAATAACGTGAAATACTTACAAGGTGGGCTAAAAACAAGGTTGAACAAAAGGCAGATTATGACTGAGATAGCGAAATGACTGAGATAGCGAAATGACTGAGATAGCGAAATGACTGAGATAGCGAAATGACTGAGATAGCGAAATGACTGAGATGGCGAAATGATTGTAAATAAATGGTGAAGGTTACAAAATAATGTCAAAAATTATACAGAAAATTCCAACAGAATATGTATTGCGATAACTGAGACGAATGTGAAAGGCATGTGCACAAGTAAACAAAAAACTAGTGCAATCAAAATATTTAGCGATTAATGCGGCCGTAACACTCCGACTTCTTGTCAATACAACTGGACGTTCTATCAGTTAAATATGAGAACCATCGTGACACCTCTCTTTGAATTTGGTCCTGTTGTACAAATGCCACGGTGAGAGCCAAACTATATTCACTTATATCTTTTGCTTGTTTTAAGTTTTGTAAATCCTCTTTCGTTGTTATTGAGCTATTTTGAAAAAATAGCTCATATGTCAGTGGTGTGAGCGTATGTATCTTTGTGGCTTTGTAACTTTGTATCTTTGTAACTTTGTAACTTTGTAACTTTGTATCTTTGTAACTTTGTATGTTTGGATGTTTGTTGCAAGAGCCAATAAGGTTGAAGGTACTATTAGTTGATGCTTAGGAACCAATGAGATCTTAGCATCTACTTAAACATGACATTGGTAAAGGTCGAACAAGGGCACTTTGAGACCGCCATCTTGATTCTTCACAATTTTTTCGTCTTTTATGACGGCTACAGGTGTTTGGAAACATTATATTAAATATCTTCATGATTCAAACGCTGTGTACAGTGATGCAGCTGTTTAAGGGTTCATATTTTAGTATGGATGCTGCTTCAAGGCATTTCTGACCTAATTCGGCTATCTGTACAACGCACGTCAGTATGAGTTCTGTTTCACCCGCTACACCTGGGTAGAGTATAAAAGATCATATATTTTCAAAGCTGTTCCAATGAAGCAATAATTGATATTTATATATAGGCTTTAATTCGAAAGTATGCGCCCTATAAAATGTGGTTTTAGAAGTTTAAAAAGGCAGCTTATTTTTGTGAAAGCTGTACCGAGTATTGTTAATCCTGTAAACAAGCTTTAAAAATATTATTCTCTCGCTTACAAAGTTCAACAGACCTTTTTCGTTCTGGCAAAACAAAAACAAAAAAAAGAATAATAAGTGAACAACATGATACATCCTTCCTGCATACTAAGTATTATAGTTTCTGAAACGTATTTTATTTAGTAAAGATGCGTAACTTGAGTAGAAACGGTAGCATTAGGGAATAAAATTGGAAGAAGCTAGCTGACACAATAATTAGATACTGTTGTATTGAGTGGAGTAACATGATACAAGTAGAAATATATTTCGGCAGTTTGATAATTTTCTTGGAAGTTAATAAATGTTAGGCTATCAACCTTGACGTTGCATGAAACATAATTTAATTGCAGATGTTGTAATAAAGCCGAGGTGATTTCTTAAAATCGCTTGAGAAAATTTTGTAGTAAAACAATTTGCCTTTTTTTTACGTACGAATTGTAAAAGGGCCAAAGACCAACATCTTCACATGCAAATTGTGTGCATGAGTTATTTTTATAATTCTGTTTACTAGATTACTGTGTGATAACTCGAATTCCCTCACGTACGAACCACGAAAGGGAGCAAAGTCCAACACTTTCACGTGCCAGCTGTGTGACTGTACATCTCATGCAGATTGGCTTTTCACAATAATAATAGTAACTTGGACGTATGAAGACCTGTTTCGTTTAGTAACCAATGCCTGAAAAAAGGCTCTTGTCTTTTAAGAAGCAATGGCTTTTAAAACATGACGAAATAAGTTGTCGGAGTTAAAGACTGTTTCACAAATGTTAATAAATGTTAGGTTATCAACCTTGACGTTGCATGAAACATAATTTAATTGCAGATGTTATAATGAAGCCGAGGTGATTTCTTAAAATCGTTTGAGAAAATTTTGTAGTAAAGAATTTGCCTTTTTTTAACGTACGAATTGTAAAAGGGCGAAAGACCAACATCTTCACGTGCAAATTGTGTGCGTGAGTTATTTTTATAATTCTGTTTACTAGTTTACTGTGTGATAACTCGAATTCCCTCACGTACGAACCACGAAAGGGGGCAAAGTCCAACACTTTCACGTGCCAGCTGTGTGACTGTACATCTCATGCAGATTGGCTTTTCACAATGATAAATAGTAACTTGGACGTATGAAGACCTGTTTCGTTTTGTAACCAATGCCTTAAAAAAGGCTCTTGTCTTTTAAGAAGCAATAGCTTTTAAAACATGAAGAAATAAGTTGTCGGAGTTAAAGACTGTTTCACTGAGTAGAATCGCACGTGACAACCTCGTGAATTATGATGATGCAACCATCTACCACAATGATAAAAATCCTGGTATTTCGTAACGATTCAGTATTCGATGAGTCACATTTTGGCTTAAGAAACTCCGAGGAAACCTTGGAGTTTTCCTTCTAATCAACGTTTGGTGAGTAGAAATTTATTTTACTTTAACAATTTGTTTAACATGCACCAGATGCAACGGGGAAAGACAGAGGAAAGTGAATATATAGGTTGAGGATCGACTCAGCTGAGCGTTTCGCGTTTTCATTTATGTAGCGCAATACCCAATTTCGCACAAAAACCAAATCATCACTCTTGGTAAGGTTACACCGAAGTATTATAGTTACACTAAAGCATTCAAAATAGCTCATGCACGTTTAACGTGCCTATGTTTTCCTTTGCACTGATAACCTTGCCCTATTGATGTTTGATAGACTTTCTGAGGACCAGCACCAGGTACCAAATATAGTTCAAGAGGGACATAATGTCTTTATAACAGGTCAGGGTGGTATGGCTAGGAAGGACAATTGCCTTCTATCAAGTATTTTTCCAGCAGGGGAAGGTGGCTTTGGGCAAATGATGTATCGGTCTCCAGAAAGGTCACCCCAGGACTCCCAGGATGGATTTTTTTTGTACAGTGCCTAGGCCTCATTTTCTTGGCTGCCCATTGATCTGGCCTGGCTACTTTGGCAAGCATGTTGTTGGTCTTTTTGGATTATATCCTTTGAGTTTGTCAAAGTCTATGTGATTTGTTTCTCTATGTGGGAAAGCTTCATTGGTTTCTATATCTGCGTCTATCCTATTTCTACTTTCCTGGCATGTTTATTTTCCTTTGGAGTTCGAATTTCATGGAAAAAGTTGTGTCGAAAGGGAGCATGGCGGCAAAGATGGCATCTAGTGTCTCTTACCTTGTATGTTATTATTGTATATAGAGTGAATTGGAACAAACTATCATGAAACTTTGTTGGAGCATTAAGGACAACAACAACTAATGCACCTATCAAAGTAAACCCCGTGGGGGGGGAGTGCGGGCAAGGGGTGGGGATTTGACAAATTTTAAAATTTTTTGATCAAATTCCCCAGGGTGGGAAACGAAAGGTCAATCAAAAGTGTCAAAAAAACCCCCACCCCGGGGGAAAAATCTAAACAAACAATACTATAATACTATATAAAACGAATAAAAGAACATTTCAAAAGTACGTTCTTACTACTTTTATTTAAGGTTAAACGTAAGTGCTGTTAAATTACTTGCTGTAATTAAGTATTTTCTCTCTCCACTAGCATCTCTTATTTTCAACAACATAATCGCTCCAGGAAGATTGACCGTGCTATTATATTAATGAAACGTAAAATGCTTTATAACATCTGCTCAACATGTCGGAGCAGGTCGGATCAGTGAGCCGTAAAAAATCCTCTGACTTTCATGGTAAAATTCGATTTCAATCGAGGTTTACAATCAGATGGGAACTTGACGATAAAAACTTTCTCAAAATAGACATTATCTGTTTAGATGACAGTGTAAAGTATCGGATTATGGCGATTAAAACAAATGAAAACTTCATACTTTTCTCCAACAGCGTGACTTTCAGAAAGCCTCGAGGAACGGATTGATACAGATTGATTGATAAATTGATACCAGGCTTCTTTCGGTCAAAGTCAAATGTCCCGACCCCAGGGTCGCTTCACACGATCAAAAGCCCGACATGGGGATAGTCTCAGGCATCAAATCCCCTCCCCTTGCCCGCACTCCCCCCCCCCCCCCCCCCCCCCCCCCCCCCCCCCACGGGATTTACATTGATAGGTGCATAACTGCAGAGTTAAATTTCATTGATCTTTATTTAGTATTTCCTAGAAATTTTAGGATCGTATTTTTACACCATACAAACACTGTAATTTTACTGGAACCGTACTGTGGTACTATCACAGAGCCTGGGTAACCTGTGGCTATAGGCAAATCTTTGTTTACACTTTACTCATTAACATATGCTCATCACCATCTGATGATGCTAATAAAATAAAACCTCTGAATATTGAAAGGACATAACAGTTTCAGTTATAACTGAAAATTTGAGCCCAATACACCAAATGGTTTCAAAGAAATTATCTTCTAAAAACTCAAAATTTTACAGGGAATGTATGGCTCACTAACTTTTTTGCCACACAAATATTGCAGTTTTTGATGGCTGATATTTCCTTCAGTATTGCATGCAAGGAGCTTAAAATTGCACAAATTTCTCAACCTAATCAGCTCTTTCAATGTTTGGATTTAGTTCATATATACCGCCATGGCTTGTATGAGTTAAGTCGTATGCTTATTAGGAAAATGTAAACAATGACGTTAGCAAAAATTCGCCTACTGATCGGGAGATTCTATTTTTGACGTTAATGGCCTGCTCTAAGCTAATCAAATCTACCTCACCGGTAATGCCAAGAGGCCAACAACATATATGTGGTAGATGACCTTAATATCAATCCTGTTTGGAAGGAGATTTCGAGGTAGCACTGAGACTAATATTGTTACCGAGGAATCAAGGAATTATCATCATCTGAACTTTCTTGGATCAGATATATGAGTGCTATCAACGCGCCAAATATTCGATCATGTAATAAAGAAAACAAAAGGGATGATTACTAATCCAAAGCGTTTATAGAGACTTGTTAATGAGTTACATAAAATGCTCAACTAAGACACTTTTCGAACTACCGACGTCGAGATAAACAATCAAGGAAAAAGGTACACGAAAACCATTTCAGTCATGCACGCAAAGCTTTTACCGTCCCTACTGGATAAACTTCACCAGTTGAGACCTTGAACAAATCATCAATCAGAACTTTGAGGAACTTCAAACAAAGTTTGAGGTATTAAATAGCTTACCAACTGCCGCAGGATACATCCCATTTTTAGAGATTGTATTGATCTTTTCGACAGTGTGAGCGGGTTACTCTTGTAGCCTGACGCGTCTTGGTCTAAGTATCTGAAAATATATTTGGACGAGTCTTTTGTGAGATTACTTGCTGGTGTCTTTTACTTCTAGTTAAAACAAAATATTGGTTTATTACAATGAGGGCTACTAGACCTTAATACTAGACCGCACTGACTTTAATTAAGCTTACTGGCATGATTCAAGCTAATATAGAAAAAAAATTAGGACCATGTAAACGCACCTGATTTGAACTTGACTACGTGCTGTAAATATGTTTTGCCCACTTACGAGATTTTAACCACAGAGACAGTGGGAAGTTTTCCTTTATCGCAGTAGAAGTTGCAAAACGCTACAACGAAAATCTCAGTTGTCAAAATGAGAGCAGTTCTCGACGATGGTGTTGTTCTCACATCGGTAGTACTCGCCTGTCATTTCGACCTGTGTATACCGGTATTTAGGTATGTAGGTATGTAGGTATTTAGGTATGTAGGTATTTATGTAGGTAGGTATTTATGTAGGTATGTAGGTATTTAGGTATGTAGGTATTTAGGTATGTAGGTATGTAGCATGATATTTGCGACCTTGTGAGGTTAGAGACCAAAAACGTCATAAATATCATTGGCCAATAGCAGATGCTGTTATATACCAGGCTATAACCCGCTGAAATCGTGCGTGATAGAAGTGACCTTGGTTCAAACAAAGGCTCGAAACACTTTTGTTTGGATGTGATTATCAGCCGGTTGTATTTCTTATTTCTTTGGTAAGTCAATCTGCTTTATTTCTTTTTTCATTTTTTTACGTTTATTGTATCCTTTATAATTGGTAGCCAGCCTATTTGTTCACTTTTTGTGAGCTTAGTGTTTAACTGCGTGCTTACAACTGTTATAACTTTACACAGCTTTACACTGGTTGTCACGATGCAAAGTCGTATCGACACAATTTGAATCAGTTTAATCTTGCATAGTTGGTTTATAGAATTAGAGCGAATAATTTTCGAGGTAGTTGTCTTTTTCACGTGTTACCTATAAGCTTACGTTTAGTGATCGAAAATGAATGTGTGGTCGATTTTACAGGCTGCATTGAAAATTTGTAAACTGCTTATTTGCTTGATTGTCATTCTTTGTGGCTTATTTTTAAGAAGCCCGATACAAATATGGTTGTTAAATTATTTTTAAGTTGAAGCACGCAGGGTTGAGACAAACCGGGTTGAGACTGAGGGTTTCCTGATCACCTACTTGTTGTAGTTATAGGCATAATCCTCATTCGATATCATAAAAGATGACATGAGCCAGCTTCAACCACATATTTCATTACGATTGGCGATTTCCATTTTTAATGGGTACGCGATCTAAAGCATATTTTTTAACTTGTTTCCAAATGAAATTCATGCACCGATGAAATCGAAACTTCAAATTCCCCCGGAAGACATAGGGCATTTGACCAGGGATTAGTGCCATGGGAGTGGGGAATTTGACAGGTAAGGGTTTCTAGGGAGTTATTTTATTGAACAACCTTTGTACCACATAGAGCCGGTAGTTCAGATGAGGCAAATACTTTGTTAACATAGTTAGCGTGAAAAAGTTTCTTACAATCCTTCCCGGGGGTGGTACTGCCATATATGGGCTATATAGGTATGTGCCGCTGTTAAGGGTATGGTTTTCAAGCGGTTTAAAATATGTAGTTCTCTGTGAGGGCACTTGACCACTACCTGATGGGACAGGGATTTCGGTAGATTTTGAATTTTCAAATTGATCTTTGCATTATAGAATAATGTGAATGCACAATAAGCATAACTGAGTGTAGAACACTTGCATTGAATGGAATATTAGAGCCTTTTATTTTTCTAAATTGAAGTTGCTGTGATTATTAAATTAGCCTTCGCCTGATTCATTTCATGCTTTATTATGATATACATGGAACACCATTCGTGCGTACCATACTTCATATATTCCTAATCTAAACTCTTTAAAAATAAATACTAGAATCCAGGTGTGGATCTAGGATAAAATCTGACCAAGCTTGTAGGGTGGTCTAGGGGCATTTGATCATATATATATATCCAAATCTGCACATATTAAGTAATAAAATTATTATTAAAAAGTATTAAATAAATATTCTTCCTTGAGAAATTTTTTGAATTTTAATTCTCTTAACCTTCCCTGCTAGCAGAGGTCTCTCGTCGTGAGAGACCTCTGCTAGCAGGGAACTCTAAACCTAAAGTCACCTTTCCTTTATTTCTGAGTCAGTCAGACTGGATATTGGCCAGATTGTAATTTGGCTTTCGTATCATATTAAGAATTATGGAGATCTTGGAGTGTGTTATCCGCCTTGGCCTACAGCCTCAACGGACCTCCTCAATCTCCATTATTCTTCATAAGATACTCAGACTCATTCATTAATTGTTAATTATTTTTATCACTACAACTGATACTTCCAAAGTTACGAATGAAAGAAAGATTCTGATATTTATTTCATTCATACTCTCTCAGTGTCAATAGCTGATTTCTCTAAACTAATTTCAGTTATACTTCTGTGCTCTTTTTGTAGTCTACTTATACTTGATGAAGGATGCAATGGATGCAAGGATACAAGGATACAAGAAAGATCAAACAATTGTTTTTGTTATAATTGTCTGCTACATGTTCTCA